CTGGATCCAGGTGGCGGGTGCCTGTAATCCCAGCTACTCAGGAGGCTGAGGCAGGAGAATTGCTTGAACCTGGGAGGCAGAGGTTGCGTTGAGCTGAGATCGTGCCACTGAGCTCCAGCCTGGGTGACAGAGCAGGACTCTGTCTCAAAAAAGTAATAATAATAATAAAATAAAAGATGTTCAGGAGCGCCTGCCTGCTCCAGGCTGAGGCCTCCTGCCTCCCTTCCCGCCACTCCGGACCTCTGTCAGGAGTAGCTTCTGTTTTTCATCTTTGTCTAATCCCAATAAAGGGCTTTCGAGGCACAGGCAGAGGCGGGCAGAGAGAGGCAGGGGAGTGCTGGAAAGGCTGCCCGGGGAGTGGGGACACAGCAGGAGGTGGCTGAGGGAATGAGGGCTGAGAGCCTAAAAGGCAGGGCCAGGAGGGCCGGGAGAGGCTCAGCTTGACCACAGGGAAGTCTGACACAGCAGTGGGATGCAGACTGTGGTTGGGTGGATCACAAATGCCCCTCAGGTAGGGGTCCGGGCACACTCCCAGCGGGTCCTGTCTCACTGCTGTCTCCTCTGTCATCGTGAACTATCACACAGAAAAACGCAGTGTTGCGTGGTAAGCACTAGAAAACAAAGTCCTGTGTGACTCCCACCAGGTCAAGAAGGTCAAGAATGAGAACGTCCCAGTGCCTCAGAGCCCCTTCTATTCTCCTCGTCCCACCAAAGGTACCGCCATCCCAGCTTGTCGGGGGATCACTTCCTGGCATTTCTTTGTAGTTTTATCATTAGTACACATCCCTAAACCATATGGACTAGCTTCGCCTGTTTGTGAACTTTGTATAGTTGAAGGATACTGTGTGTCTTCTCCTGTGAACCGTTTCTTTCATTGAGCATTATGTTTTTTAAGGTAGATCCAGTCCACATTATGGCTGAAGTTCGTTTTTGTTGCTATAGATAGAGCAAGAGTTGAAACCACGGCCGGTGGGCTAAACCCAGCCCACTGCCTCTTGTATGGCCTGTGAGTTATGAATGGTTTTTATATTTTTAAGTGGTTGAAAAAATCAAAAGGGACTGTGCAGACTCATGTGGCTTCTAATCCTCGACTCCCAGCACGGGGCCGGCACCCAGCGGATGCTCAGGAAATGGTGACAATCAAGGATGAATTAAGCTCTGAGCAGGGTGGAGACGCGATACCACAGGAGGGGCGCCTGGGGGAGGAGATGGAAGGGCTGGGTAGTCGTCCTCTGCCCTCCCTCTGCCCTCCCTGAGCCCTGGCTCCTCTCCAGCATTGGTAGGGTAATGAGACCCCGTGTATAGTGAATGGTAGAGAGGACACAGGCATCCTGGGGAAATGTGGACCTTGAGGCAGGATCTGACCCTCTGCTTGCTCCTTGTGGATCTAAGCAAAGCCATACC